TCCACCTGTCCCGGCCGAAACAGCCCCAAGTCTATAGCATATAGCAGCATGTATGGCTCACCTTCGAGAATCGCCCCCACGATGGCCCCGTCGTCGCTCCCCGGTGCCGCCGCGGGACAGTCTCGCGCGAGCAGGGCGCGGACGCACTCGAGCTGCCCGGCCTCGCACGCGTGGTGCAAGGCTGTGTCGCCGTTCGCGTCGCGGTGCTCCAGGGCAACGCCTGGCGAGATCACGGGTTGGAGTGGGGTCGCACGAAAGACAGACGCATCGTTGTCGATCTTTTCACGCGTGTTTGTTTTCTAGCATTGACAGCGCCAGTCGGCTGGCAAATGAAAAGACGTCAGTCTCAGTGCGGTTGAAAACACAAAACGTTTCCAAATGCCATGAACTGGGACCCTGTGGGGGGGCGTCATGGGGGAGGCTAAGCTATTCTCCGGATGAGAGACAGAAACGGTGCTAGCAACAGAATGCACGTGTCTACCAAGGCTACTATTATACTACCTTTCACATGAGTCCGTGTGTGTGTTCCAAGCATCGGCAGCGCTAACCGGCTGGCCAATGAAAAGACGTCAGTCAGTGCCAGCGTGTCTATGTGTGTGTCGCGGGGGGCGATGCACAGAAAAGAAGTGCGGCCAGCACCGCCTGCTGCGATCGGTCAAAGGAAACATGTGGTGGCGAGATACATGATGTAGTGGCAATGGAAGTGACATGGTCGGAGGCAGGTGCGGCCCGCGATCGAATCGGCCGGTTTGCGTGGAAGTTTCTCTGTTTACGCCTGTGACGACATGAGACGCAGGTCAGAGTCCTTGTGTTGCTGCTGTATGACCACGTTGCCCTGCTGTCCGTTACGGGTGCTGAGCGCTCGAGCAATGGTTTTTGTTGTCCTGCCACAGGTGGACGTGAATTCTCAACACTTAGGTGAGAGCCGTTGGGTTTAGGCTAACACTTCTGCTCATGTTCGACCACGATGGCATTGCAGAATCCGTCTTTCTCCCTAGACGGCCGTGGTCAAGGCCTTTCACTACAACTCGATATACATGCCCACATATTCCTACCTCCCACGTCCATACACGGCCAACACACCCTTCGCTGCCTACACCGCAACCCCCTGCGCGGAGGTTCTACTACTACTGCACCTGCTCTGGACCTTTTTTCGCTCCGGGCCTGATGCGCATCGACTGACTCACCATGGTCGATAAGGATCCTCAATACGTCCACGTTTCCTGCGGACGCTGCCGTGATAAGCGGCGTTCTTTCCACGGCATTTCGCGCCTCCAAGTCCGCTCCGTGCGAGATCAAGTTCTGCATCCCCCCCCCCCCCCCCCCCCNCCCCCCCCGAGTCGTTGGTTTCGCAAGCCGGCAAACGAACAAAGGCACATCAGGAAGGACGAAACGAAGCACTGACGGCAATGCCTCGAGCGAAACAAAAAACAGGACAGGTGTGGTACATCCAAAGTGCCCCCCCACATGCGGGATCACGCAAAGCATGGCCAAAGCCCTCCCTTAGCGGTCGTGCAGGCGCCGCGACAAGGAGTACGAAGCTCTTGGGTTCCAACGGCACACAACTTTCCGTTGGACGAAGAACAGTTGCAGCGAGAATATCCGTCTAAAGAGAACCAAAGAATGCAATATTTTTGCAGCAGTGTCAAACCAGTGCCTTCCACTATTGATCAACGTTTCGTCCCTTCCCCCGCCAATAGCTCAGCCCCCAACAAAATAGCCCCGGGTTACCAAAAAAAAATTCCATCACTACCAGCGTCCTCAAGAGGTAAGCTCCTTTTTTCGTCTGCAATGCCTCTCGCCTAGGCGTCTACCTGCGTGAGGTCGATGTTTCCCGTGTTGCAGGCGACGTGCAGCAGCGAGCTCCTCTCCGCGCCGTGGGACGACTTGATGATGGACCCGTTGGCCTCGAGGCAGTAGTGCACGTAGTTCACGTCCCCGTGGGCAGCTCCGTTGAAGACCGTCTCCGGGTCGGTGACCCCCTCCCCGTGCTCGGCACCTGCACAGCAGCAGCAGCAGCAGCAGACATGCGAGCAAACACAGTAAAAAAAAGCTGGAGATGTCCGCAGCCATGCCGTTGTTGATTTTTTGCCTTGCAACAGCAGCAGTTGTGTACAAATGCATAGTTATGTGCACACGGTGTAGCCGCAGCCGCAGCCGCAGCCGCAGCCGCAGCAGCAGCAGCAGCAGCAGACAGGCGAGCAAACACAGTAAAAAAATACCCTAGAGGGGTCCACAGCCATGCCATTTTCGATATTCTGCCTTGCCACAATAGCAGGTGTGAACAAATACTTCAAAGTAGCACGTACACACGGCGTAGCAGCAGCAGCCGTAGACATGGCGCATTTCAGCAAAAATTACGCTGGATGGGGTCCAAATCCATGTTTCGATTGTCGAAACAGTAACAGGTGTGCACAAAAAACAATGCTTCGCAGTTATCATGGCTAGCATATACACACGGCAACGCTGTCTCGAGACACAAACGCTGTACGCCGGGAGTTGGATGATACCTTCCCCGTCTGCCACCACGAACTTGACATCCAACCGATATCCGCCCACTCCGCACGTATGGTATGCCGAAAATGGCACGTGAAGAGTTTTGAAGGACCGGGGCAGAATGGAGCCCGCACCATCACACACGAGGGACGCGTCCTACGTGAGACGAGGTACTGTCGAAAACCCCCCCTCCTCTCCTCTCCTCGACACGACCACGCCCCCCCCCCCCCCCCCCCCCCCCCCCCCCCCCCCCCCCCCCC